AACAATTGATAGAACCTACATAAGTGGGACAATTGGTATTAAAAAGCACCATTGTCATCAAATCTGTGATCTATTGGTTACACATTTTTTGTTTGCCTATGCCACTAAAGCTTGGCCTCTTTGATGTTTTAAATATATCTCCTAATGAACTCCATTTTTTTTGACATAGGAGCATGCGTAAGATACATATAGCGCTCATGCTACAGAATTTATCTGACCAAGAAATCCTTCTTACATGTTCCACTTCTCCTTCTGCCGAGGCTCCAGATTTCGTGGATGGCCTAAGAAGGTACTACAATAGTTCCAAAATAATGATACACTAGTTCCTTTCTCACGTTCACGGATATGTCAGCTGGCTATCCATGTGAAACATCATTTGAACAAATTCTTTCTACAGGCAGTGGGACTATCTAATCCAACACCCAGATTGGAAAGAAACATTCCCTTCCAAACAGCCACATATATTTCGAAGGACAGAAGATAATAGTTGGGTGAGGCACTGCGCAAAATTCAGCAGCTTATCTTATGCATACACTGATTAAGGACGATTTGTTCAAGGTCGAGCTCTAGGGGAAATGAAGGTCGTGCATGTCTTATGGTATGTACCAATATTGAAAGAGGAAATCGTACATTAATTTCTTCGATTAGGTTTAAAAAGCTCAAGGGTGATATCCCCTCTCTCCTACTATTGCAGGTTAAGCAGTGTTCTGGCACCCCTGCTTCTGTGGAGAAGGGCAGGATTCATAGCTTAGACTTACCTCTTCATGCTCTATTGATAAAAGAAGCTTGAAATGATTATAGATTGTTGGACAGGATAAGGTAGCAGCTATAACTATTAACTAAGACCTCCGTTCGCAACTTCACATGCTCCATTGATGAGCCAAAACTTGAAATACTTGGCAATTTTCTTGTTAGGTATTGTCTTATTAATTGTTTGATACAATAATTGGTTTTCAGAGAGTTTGGCAATTCCACGGAGAACCACCATTGTAAAACTGAAATTTTAAGGTTACAGTATATATTTTATCGGAAAAAAGAATCAAATTATATTACTTTCATTTTAAGTGGTAAAAATTGCACGGGGCGCCCTATTTGGTCGCCCCCATTTAACCTATATCCATTTTTTTAAAAACTTTGAACTTGTACCCACTTTTTAAACAACTTCAACCCCCTTTCTCCTCCCCCTCCTTTGTATTCTTCTTTCTTCTTCTACAACGATCCTCTGGAAAAATATGCCTCTAAGTGATAACAGTTTTAACATTTGTGGTTTTTCATTTCAGTCAGAATATTGAGTGCCAATTCTTACTACTTAAAGTTATATATTTTGTCTCGTTTAATCACCACTTCACTCACACATGTTAGTTTTGCAGGCTTCAACACAATACAATTGTGTTATTTGAATCCAGCAAGCTGCTATGCTCTATGTTGTTGTCTCGACAGAATTCTTCGATTCCTCTAGGATTAATTCCCAAAGGTGGTGAGACCAATGCGTTGACAAACTTAAACGTGAGTGAAAACTACGGATACCTTGTATACTGCGTACATATCGGACAAAAGAAAGAAGAGTTTGGATCAGATAGCATAAAACATGAGAGCATAAAACATGCTTAAGTTAATCAAATATAGAACAAAAACTTCAGCTCTAGAGCTGAAGTTCCCCAGTTACAAAACAAAAACTTCAGCTCTAGAACTGAAGTTCGCCAGTTACAAACAAAAACTTCGCCAGTTACAAAACAAAAGCACAAAAACAAAAACTTCAGCTCTAGAGCTGAAGTTCACGAGTTACAAAACAAAAACTTCAGCTCTAGAGCTGAAGTTCGCCAGTTACAAAACAAAAACTTCAGCTCTAGAGCTGAACTTCAGGCCCGGCTACTAGAATGCTGAAGTTTTGCGTGATTGCCTTTGTTACTTCAGCCCTGTATGCTGAAGTTATGCGAAAAAGCGGGTACGCTTGCAATTTTTTTTTGCAAAGNGTAAAGCGGACACAAGTTAAAACGTGACACAAAAAGCGGGTATAGATACAAATGTCCCTTTTAAGCGAGGGGTTCATAATAGGAGTTCAAAGTGCGCGAGTCAAACTATTTAATTCTCATTATTAATTGAACATAAAATCTTCTACTGTTTAATAAAATTTACCTTCTTAGAAATGCATAAAAAATACTTTAAATTACGATATTTAATATTTGGATAATTTCGAATAAAGAAAAACGTCTTCCAAATGGTAGTAGTGCTACATAATGTGGAACAGAAGGAATACAACATCTTCAATGTGGTTAAGATGTTTGCTTAAGCTCCATTAAAGCTCCTGTTAATTCAGTCAGTAGATACTGTTTGCCGGAGTCTCAAGAGCTATTATTAGCTACTACGTAATAAAATAGTAAACAGAGATATAAAAGGGTCTTGTTATGAGCTCTTTAACATTTCTCAATTTTGAACTCCAATTATTCTAAAGCGGCAGTAACAAGACCCTATCAAAGGACTGTCACCAATGGACTGTCTATGAGGCCACCAAATACTCGCTGGAAATAATACACTAGTACAGCACGGCCAATATCCTTTCAAGGTTTATCCTTGCTCTATCTGTTCCACCAAAAAGTTTTAGGCCCTTTTTGTTAAATTAATTTAATAAGAAGATAGAGGATAAATCTCATTCGGAAAAAAGGGTCTGATCTATCCCTGTACTATGGCAAATTGTTTAAAATTGTCCCCCGTTATATTATTGGGCCATAAAAGTCCCTCCCGTCCAACTATCCTAACAAATATGTCCTTAGTTAGACGGAGGTGCCACGTGGCATCCATCCGTGCCTGTTTTAAATCTGGGCACATAAGAGACGACCCGCTCCATGAAACCCACCAACCCAAATAACGCGACCCGCCATTTACAAACCAAATAATACCCATTTCGTCCATTTCATTTTTCCCGTTTCATTTTCTTCTCTCACTAACTATCTAGAACATGAAAATTCTCTCACAACTTTGTTGATAACCGATTTGAAGTGAAGAAATTCCATAAAGGTAATACTTTCCTCCATGAAAATCATTCGTCTTTGCTATATTATTCATGTTAGTATTGCAATTTTTTAGTTTTCTTTTCGTATTTTAGGGTTTTTATGTTAGGGTTTCGATTTCTTAGATTTCATCTACATCTAACTCAAGTTTCTGAAATTTCATTGATATATCCTTATTTCTTGTCAGTTGCTAGTGTTTGCATGCATGGTTTACGCCTTTTTTCTTTATTTATTGTTGGGTTTTGTGGGATTAAGTCCTGATTCTTTGTTTTGTGGGATTTTGTGGGGTTATGTGAGGTTTGTTTGTTTGTCCTTTTCCACAAAAGTATATTTATGTTGTCTAAAGATTCTGCATTGTTCCTTTGTTTATTAACAATGATGGTCCCCAATTATGTGGTCATTTGATTAAAGTATTCGGGTATGTTGGATTTTCTTTAGGGAGGGACCTCTTGTCATAAAAAAATATTTCTTTTTGGCATTAATTATTCCTTCCCACTATTGATTTTTACATTAATTATATTTTTTTCTATTGTGTTTTATTGGTTGTTGGAGATGGTGTTACTGAGCCTCAAGTTGTCTACACAGGAAAATTGGTGAAGACTTGGACAGGTTATGACTCCGACTTACTTTCAGACATAGACATAGTCAATGAATTCACAAATATGCTAGGATTTTTAGGGGTTCAACAACTTATAGTTGATGCCCCATCTGGTAAATTTTATGTGATTGAGGGGGATGATGGTGTTAGACATTTACAAAGGTTATTATGCAATGAATTCAATGTAGTGAACCTATATGGTATAGATGAATGTGAGCCCCATATTTACTCTATTCCCAATATTGTACAATATGAAGAAGAATCTAATAAAATAGTGGATGATGTTGGTATTGATTGTAGCTTAAGTGATGTATGATCTGACTCTAGTACTAATTCTGAAGGATACAATTCTGAAGAATTAGAAGCACTTAAAGCACAAAAGAAAAGGAAAATAAATGAAAAACTTAGTGACTGCAAAGAGTTATGCAAAGGTATGTCCTGAAGCTAGGAAGTGTCTGAAGTTATATTCTCTGGCTAACAAGAAAAGATTAAAATTGGAGAAGAGTGACCTAGAAAGGCTTAGGTATAGTTGTGATATTGTTGGTTGTCCCTGTGTGTGCTTAATATCAAAAGAAAAGTTGGTGGGGTTAAAATCAAGACTTTATCTACTGAACATGATTGTGGCACTGCATTTGATAACAAGACTGTTGATTTTAGTACCATTGCACAATATTTCAAGCAGAAGTTAAAGGATAATCCTAAGTAGAAGGTTAGGGAGATGATGTTAGATTTGAAGAGAAACTTTGAGCTAAATGTTAGTCATGTGAAGTGCAAGAGGGCAAAGAGGATGGTATTGGAGTTACTAGATGGTAGTTTTTCAGATGAGTACAATAAACTAGAAGCTTATGCCAATGAATTGAGGGGAAGTAACCCTAGTAGTGATGTGGTTGTTACACTTTCAAAGAGTACACTTGAAGAAGGAAGAAGAAGGTTCTTGAGAATGCATATGTGTTTTCATGCTTTGAAGATGGGTTTCAATCTAGGATTGAGACCTTTTATTGGTTTGGATGGTACATTTTTGAAGGGCAAAGCCAAAGGCCAACTGTTAGTGGCAGTTGGACAGGATTCATAGAATCATTTTTATCCTTTGGCATGGGCAGTTGTTGAAAAGGAGAACAAAAATACTTGGAATTGGTTCCTACAACTGCTGCAATCTTCTTTGGACCTCAAGGAAGGGGAAAGAATCACCTTCATGTCAGATATGCAAAAGGTGAAGTTTTCTGAAATTTCGGATCTGTTATTCAATCTTCTAATTACTTTTTACTTAATAATCAATTCTGAACATCTTTGTTTGTTCTGCAAGGACTGCTTGATGCAGTCAAAACAGTCCTTCCCCAAGCACATCACAGGTATTATGTTAGACATATTAAGCCTAACTGGTACAAACAGTACAATACTGCGGAAAACAAGAATGCATGGACAACACTGGATTGTGGATGCAAGGGATAAGCCTATAATCAAGATGCCAGATGACATCATAATCAAGACCATGAACTTGTTAAGAGAACATGTAGAAGAAGTTAGGAGCTGGAGACATGATTTCAGTCTAAAATGTAAGGACTTGTACAATGAGTACCTGCAGATTGCACAAACTGTGTGTGAAGTAAATACAAATGGTCAAAATGGCTATGAAGTAACAGAAGGATCTGATAAGCATTGTGTTAATTTGGTTGTGAAGAAGTGCACTTGTAGGTCATGGGACCTTATAGGAATCCCATGTCCACATGCTATTAGAGCTATACTTCATGACTCTGGTGATCCAATCACTGAAATCAACTGGTGGTATAGCAAGGAGGCATTTTTGCTGACTTATAGGCACAAAATACAACATGTCAAGGGAGAAAAGGTTTGGAAGATTGAACCATCTCAAGCAATGGAGCCTCCAGAGCTTGTGAAATTGGTTGGTAGACCTAAGGTTAAGAGAGATAGGCAGAAGGATGAGGCAGTTAAAAAATAAGGAGTGTGGTCACAGTCCAGAAAAGGAAGAATCATGACTTGTAGCAAATGTGGAGAAACAACTCATAATGCAAGGACTTGTGATCAGGTAATTATTTTACATTAACTTCAAAGTATTAAATACTAGACATGAAGAATATTTCTAACTTGTCTTTTTAACTATTTTAATCAAGGGAAAGAAGCAAAGTAAGAGAGGAAAAGTTGAGCAGGCTGCTGCCACAACTGAACAGGCTACCACCAGTTCAGCACCTGCTACCACAACTGAGCAGGCTTCCACAACTTAGCAGGCTACCACCAGTTCAACACCCGCTGCAAAAAGAATCAAAAGGAAAGCAATAGAGGAAGAGCCAAGTTGTTTGATAGAACATGAAACTGAACCTCAAGTTGAAAATGATATCAACTGTTCAACACCTCAAGCCACTCAACCAAGTCAGGACAGTGGGCTTAGGTTCATGCCTACACCTGGAAGAATACTTAGGTCAAGAGTTAGACATGAAGAAGATGTTGTGCTTAGGCCAAGAGTTATATTAGAAGTAACTACAAGGCTTAGGATGAGACAACAGGTACAAATACCAGCTGAAATAAGGTCAATCAACTTCACAGGTGATCATAGTGGTGTTAGTGTACCAACAGATCTGCCATATTCAACCCCAACATTATAGTGGAAGGGGAAGGATGTTGTAACTGCAAATCAGTTGGAAAAACAAGGGCAAGAAGGAATTGGGAATCTGAAATCAAGGAGAAAAAAACTGAAGACAAAAGTATAATTTTTTTGTTGTATGGGATGTATTTACTTCAAACTTATAGACAGTTGTGTCCCTTTTAGTATACTGTAATTTCAGTTTTTTGGTGCTATTTTGGTGATGTAACTACTGGAGTTACTGTCTTCTTTGGTGATGTAATTACAATTATTTGGTGCTATTTTTTGTGCGGTTTTAGTGATGTAATTACAATTATTTGGTGCTGTTTTAGTGATGTAACTACTGGAAATACTGAATTTTTGGTGAGTTAATTACATTTTCTTGGTGCTGTTTCAGAAAATTACTACTGGAACTACTGTGTTTTTGGTGATGTAATTACAGTTTCTTAGTGTTGTTTTTGGTGTTGTTTTAGTGATGTAACTACTGGAGTTACTATGTTTTTTGTTATGTAATTTCAGTTTTTTTAGTGCTATTTTTGGTGTTGTACTATGTTGTAAGCATTTGTGTTTGGTGAAGTTTATGTTTTTGGTGATCTATGTTTTCAAACTAAGTTCTAGTGCTTAAAAAGGGACCATATGCCATAAAACAATTCAAACTAAATTCAAACAATTGACAAGTCAGTAGATAGAACATCAAAACACTAGTACTTGGAAACATAGAACATCAAAACACTATTACTTGGAAACAAACATTAACAATTGATGTAATTATTTTACAATGACAAAAAAACTCTAGTAATTAGGAACATACATTAACAAGTGAAATATGGACCATATGCCATCTTCAGCAAACCCAATTTACTTCATCCACATTGTCGCAACAAAACCAACAAAAAGTGCAACTGAAATTCAAATAAACATCTCCATCTTAACCACTTTATCTTCGATTTCCCTTACTTTGTTCACTTCAACATTTTTTGCAACCTCCAAATCTTCAACTTTTTCCAACAACTTGTCTCTTTCTATCTTGCACGACTCCAATAATTGCTTCAACATATTGATTGTAACATTAGCAGCATCTAATTTACACTGCAACTTATTGATTTCTACCAAATCTCTATCCAAAAAAGGTTCGTCTTGCCATTCCCAATATCCACACGACTCATTCTAGCGAAAATGAACAATAATTAGGTTAGAAGGAATAAAACTTCAATTTTTGTACAAACAATTAACAAACTTACTTCAGGTTTTGCACATTTATAGAATCTTCTTCTGGAATTTTGAGGTGTGGTCGATCAAAAGTGCTTGGCAATCTCTCCACAATGGCACATCCTCTTTGATGTAGCACTAGACTCCGACATCTATGATGAAATTTATTGAAATGGGTTGTCTTGATGGAGCTAATAACATAGAGGGTTTGATGGAGATGGCAGCAGGAGTATAAAATAGGGTTGGGGTTTAATTTGGGTTATAAATCGTTGGCCAGTGGCTTTGGTGTATTATTTGGGTTGGCGGGTTTCATGGAGCGGGTCGTCTCTTATGTGCCCAGATTTAAAACAGGCATGGATGGATACCACGTGGCACCTCCGTCTAACTAAGGGCAGATTTGTTAGGATAGTTGGACGGCATGGACTTTTATGGTCCAATAGTATAACTGGGGATAATTTTAAACAATTTACCATAGTACAGGGATAAATCAGACCCTTTTCCGTTTCCGATAATCATTTCTAGATCAGGAACCACAAACATGTATAAACTATTATAGTTTAGTGTGAAAGGCCAATATAGTCCCGCTCGTACTCCACAATATAATGAAATATGGAAATTTACATAATATCAAGTGGAAAAGAGAAATAGCAACAGAAACGATTCACCCGACTGTGGGCTAGACAGATTTGTATTTTCTTGAGAAGGTCGAATTACAGATGAATACCAAGATCTAAGCTCTTTTATCCTTTTGGAGATGGATCTGAGGTCATGGACTATCGTTCCTCTCCGAAAGGTGTGTTCTTCTTGGATCTTTTTACTGCCCCCTCCCCTCGTTACTCTCTCTCCTAGTATTTATATAAAACACTTGTATTATGCATTGGTCCTTAACCAGTGTACCCCCTCTTTATTGAATATCATGTGGAATAGTCCTTTAAAATTGCTAAGTGTCGAACCAGCCGTACGAGCCTCATGAGTGCTCGACTTCAGCCATAGCCAGACTGTTTGCCGGTGTGTTGCATCCTAAACGTGACTTCGACTTGGCTGACCCCAGGCCATTCTCCCTTAAGTAGACTTCTTTTGATCAGATTTTGACCCATACAGTTAGTCTCTCCACCTATCGAGGTCGTCTTCAGACGAGCTTGATGGGCGGACCCCGCCGATTTGCGAGTTGAGAAATTTGAGCATCTTGGTCGAGGTGCGAACCCTTGATGGTGAGATAATAATGTGACTCTTTGAGAACTAATCATGACTGTTACGTCAGTTTCCAATGACATCAATTTGTCATGCGTCATTATGGTGTACGTTTCCAATCCGTTACGTCATTACCTATTCCTCTTCCGTTCTGGAGTTAATGTGGTGGCATTTGGTTTTCCCGCTCGAGATGCCTGTGTTCTTGTAAATAGAGAAGAAAATGTCTTATTTGGGTTACTAAGTTTCTTAATCCTTTGAACAGCTTCAAGTTTTACCTTCTACTTCTTCCGATTCTTGCGTTTCCATCTCCTTTCCTATAAAGTTTCCTGTCGTTATTACCCTTTTCTTCTCAGCACTCCTCATCTACGCAACCAACAAGGAGATGGCTAGTGCATCCTCTAACTCTGATAGAGCCGTCAACGTCGCTGCATCGGGAATTGATATACCCTTTCATGAAGAAGGGGTAGTCATGCGGAAGATGAGAATTTCCCTACTATGGATGAAATAAATCCACGTTCGGGGAAGACCAGGACTGATTTCAAGAACTTTCCTGGTGGTGAGCCTGAACCCGTTGTTTCCCAAATGGATGTTGTGGCACTCGATGCACTTAAGGCTAAATGGAGGATTCCTGACTACGTCGAACTCATACCTGCGGGCAACTACGTAGTGCAAATACATTGCCCAGGGTATTGCACATTATATGCGTACCCATTCGTCATTGGTAACCACTTCCCTTTCTTTCCCTGGCTGAGGACTTCTATCGCTATTATGGGGTGTTCCCGGCTCAGCTCTCTCCATATATATACAAGATCTTCCTCATGCTTACCAAGTACGCGGAACTGGCCGGCCGGGGGATATCTCTCTGTCACTTGCTTCACCTAGTTTTTACAGGGGTACTATGATACATCTTCATCATCGCGAGACCAAGGGCTTGGTGGTGAAGATGGATGATAAGACCAATCACCACTTTTGGGAGAACTTCTTCTTTGTGAGGATGGAGCACGTGGTGTCAAATCCTAACTGGTTTCTTGAGGAGTGGAATTATGCCCGCAAGGTTTTTTTTAAACGGCTGCTTGTTGTCCCCTTCCGGTGATTTGATTGTTCTTCTGTTTCCATTTTCTTTATTTTGCAGTCGAGAAGGTACCTCCTCCGCTAGTCACTGATATCCGCGAGTGGGTGAGCCAGGCTTTCCCCCATACGATGGGGATTCGTGAATGGTCGCCGTTCCACGAGAGATTTGAGCGTAGACCCTCTACTGGTGAGTCATCTCGTCCTGCCCTTAGTCACTTTGCCCTTTCTTCTGCATTTTCCTTCCCCTATTTCCTCTTTGGTTTAAGCATCTCTCGTTGGTGGGTCAGAGGGTCACGAGGAGGGTGAGGGCTCCCATACCTATTTTCCGTCAGTCGAGTCTCTCAATCGGACCTACACTAATTGTGGCTACAAGTGAGAGCGTTTAGGATGCTGCTACTTTAGAGACTACGACCCCTCCCAGACTCGGCCGTCAGGAGGAAGCTTTGATTCCCGCAGTTCATTTGGTGGACGAATCATCTCAGGACGATGGCAAAGAAGCTCAATTAAAGAGACGGAGAATAAGAGCTAATAGGGTACCCGGGATTGAGGGGCCTTCGAGGGGTAATCCCGTATTGGCATTGTTTGAGCCTGATGGTGATGCTAATTTAGACGAGGAGATTGTATCCCCTTGGGCGTGGAGGTGCTGCCCATTTTTGGCGTGCTGGAGTCTACCGTGGTAGGGGCAGATCCCAAAGGCCATTGCCATCATTCTGAGTGGTCCATCGACTTCACAATAGGCCCCTGCTCCCTTTTTGGCTAGTGAGAGGGAAAATGGCGTGGTTATAGATGATTATGAATCCAGTTGAGATATTGACCCTGAGGACATAAGCATGTTTGAAGCGGGGTTCACTCGGGTTGAGGCGGGAACGGACGGTTCCTCCCGCGTGATCGAGATTTCTTCGGATTGCGATTTGTTGGAGGACACGGTGAGCCTGGTGCCCCAATTTGAGCTTCTTTGTTCCGCCACTGAAATTAGGTCCCTTCAGGAGATCAGTGATGCTAGCCTATCACGGGGCGTAGCTAAAATGGCTTTGAGGGAGAGTTCTTTATTACTTTCTCCGTTTTACGTCTTCCACTCTTGCTGACTTTTTCTTTTTGTTTTCTTTTCTTTCTTCTGACTTTTATTTTGGAGACTGAGAGTATCCGCCGCGAGGAGAGGCGAGCTGCCGCTTTTCAGAAAATGGTTTCAAAGTACCACTGATACCGTGACAAGTGCTACGAGATGCATGCACGACTCAGGGCGGGCGGCAATTTTTAGTCCCTTAGAGAGGAATTGGAGCGGAAGGACGAGGACCTGCTACAGTCCATTGGCAGATGCAGCGAACTCGAGGGGCTGCTTAGGGCTAAAGAAGAAGAGCTCGAGGTGGGCAAGGGGGTTGTGGCTGACTGTGTTGATCTTCAGGTGAAGGTGGTAGACTTGCGGGCAGAGCTTGAGCAGAGTGCCACCAGAGTCACCGATCTAAGTGTTGAATTGGCGGAGAAGGTGACCAAGTTCGAAAAGAAGGCGACTGAGCTGGAAAGGCCTGAGGGAGCCCGAGTAGCAGCATTGGCGAGGGTTGCGACACTGGAAGATTCTATTCACGTTCTAAGGTCAGAACAAGCAACTGAGATGGAAACGGCCATTGTGAGGGAGGCGCGGCTTGATGAGCAAATTGGTGGGATTGAGGGAGATGTCTTGAGCC